TAACTTTTGGTCCAAACAAAGTTTAACATCGTGCATGTGGTAAACCTGACACAATCTACTATATTTACGTAATCTGCTATATTTACGTTTAATAGTTAAAACTGTCACGCTTCATTTCATTGTATGCTCCACATGGGCGTGTTGAGCCCGCGGGACACCTGATGAGCCGCGTGTACCACTGGATGGGCGTGTTGGGCAACCAGCACCGCTAGATGGGAGTGTTGGGCCACCAGCACCGCTAGATGGGAGTGTTGGGCCACCAGCACCGCTGGATGGGAGTGTTGGGCCACCAGCACCGCTAGATGGGAGTGTTGGGCCACCAGCACCGCTGGATGGGAGTGTTGGGCCACCAGCACCGCTGGATGGGCGTGTTGAGCCCGTGAGTCTATAGTCGTAGGTGGAGGGGAGGACTTGTTTGGTCCCCCGCCACCTTAAAAAGCGTATACATGGTATACGTTGAGTATTGACGGAGTTGTCGTCGGACTGCCTAGAGAGTGCTAACTTCTGAGCAAGTGACGCCAGAACCGTCTCCAGTGGAGAGCAGTAGCACATTACACCCGGAGACTCTGCCTGGTAGGAGGACTACGGACCCAGGATCAAAACTGTATATACAATTGTACATAGAAACCTGTGTGTTCGGATAAAAGACCACTAAATAAAAGGAAGTGTAAGATACCCAGTCTTTCACTTATCGACCCTTACCACCCTTTATCCTAGTGCTCTAGAGGAAACTTCCTCACAAGTTGTCCAAATCATCTAGATCTTGGTCCAAGAAATGTAAGCATTCGATTAAAGGTAACAGACACCAGGGCATTACATCTTACCAAGAACCAATGAGTGATAGCCTTTATGTAAAAAATTATTTGTCCCTAAAAATTAAGAACCTTCAAAAGATAGGTTTTACCACTGGCGTACCAAAAGTGAGGGTCACGGGTCACTTTTAAAATTAGCAACATTTCGAACTTGGTTATACGTTGGATGGATACGTATAATTTTAACCGTCCATTAAAAATACGGTTGAAAAAGAAAATAGTTGAAATACATTCTTTAAAAATAATGTTCATTTACGTAGATGGAACTTACTCTTACGGAACTGATAGTCAAATTTATTATTCAGTGAGAATCGGCGAGTTGAATTAAATGTGGAGTATTAAATAAATATACCCTCTTGGAAAACGTAATTGTTACTTGGTATTTAATAGTAAACAAATCAACATCATATGATTCAATGATTATTTGTATTTATATCAGTGTTAAAGTTGCCTAAAATCATTTTGTAGCCCATTTCAGTGAAACGCATAACTACAGACACATCAGGCTCATTATCACTTTCAATAAAACAAACACAAAATGACGAACGTGCTCCCTGCCTAATTGCTTTTGTTGCAAAATAAACTAAAACGACCAATTAGTATTCTCAAAATTTATGAGGCTCGTCATAAAAAATATGATTAAATTATTTTCTGCATTTCTACTGTGTTATTTGTTTTACTGTTTGGTAAGAAAATAAAAGACAGGATTTTGTTTAAACACTACGAAGTAGGAAGTAAATTTAGTCTTATCAGTCAATGAATGTGTTTACTATTATAAGTAATAACTAATAATCATATACTCGGCTCCTTCAAGTACCACGGACTTGAAAGTTATTGGTCCAAAACCATAATGAAACACATATATCAACAACTGTTTTATTATTTTAATTTAAAAAAAATGTTGATAAATGTATTTCACAATACACAAAATGATTGTATCTAATTGTGTAACAACCCGATTAAGGTAATTCTACAGTGAAAAGTTAACAATAAGCTTTAACAGTATTGTTTCTTATCAACAAATGAAAGCTACTTGAGTGTGGTTCCGAAGGTCCATTTATTATGATAAGAATATTCTTTTAAAAACCAAAAGGCCAAAGAAATTCAGGGTCAGGGTTTATTCAAAGAAAATCTTGCTTAAAAGGGAATCAAGCCATACGGTTTAATTCCATTAATCCTATCAAGGGCTGGTTTTGTAAATGTTTAGATAAATTTTGCCAATTTATTTAGAATTAAAATTATGCATATACCAAACAACTTTTAAGTATCCGGCTCTCACATCTGATAACACATTGTTTTCCGTAATGATAATTTTGTGCAATCAGGGTATTAAAATCTTGTTCCCCCATACATGCACTAAACATGAACACTGTTCACTGAAATAGCAGCTCATAGACCTGATGAGAGATTTGCTAACACTATATGGTTTACTATTATGAATTACCTTAAATTCTATTTTTATCTCATTGTACTATTGTTTCCACTGGTCTAAAGTGATATTTTAAGGCTGGTCAGTACTTCAACTGTCGTTAATTTAGCGAAATTGTTCAGATGGCTCCTTTGCCTGTCTATAAACTAGTCTAGAGCCCAAATTTTGTCATTTATGTTTTATTCTTCTTGTTATTAGTAGCTTTTTAAATATATTTCTTTTTACTAACCCTTGGGCGTTTCTTAAATTAAGGCTCAATAGAATAAATAAATGTAATACAGTATCAAATACTAACCGTCATTATTAAGTTTAATGTATATATTTTACTACTGATCCCAGTTTACTGTACAGTTTAATTACAGTATTATCAACTCACACTTTACTAAACGTCTAATTAAAAAGTGTTTTTGAAGGGAGAAAACTATATTCTTGAGTAATCCATATACTAAGTTCCAAAATAAAAATTGAATTTATATTAAAGATTTTTAAAACTCTAAGCGTCGCACAGTAGATGTTTTAGCTGTACAAATAATCATATGTAGTTGACTGTCAGATCTTATTTTCAACACATATATTTGTTCACAACCAGATAGTTCATTAAAAGGTCAGCTGGTCAAACCAGGATAAACAATTTCAATAATTTCGATCAATAACAAATTTTTGAAACGTGTACTGCCTACCTTGCTGCAAACCCAAGAAATTACTGGCCATCCTGCAGCATGCTATACAGGGCTGAAAAGTAACTTACACCCCCCCCCCCTTAACTTTTCAACCATTTGAGATATTTGAAATCTGTTTGTGGCAACCTTCTTAAGTATGAGGGGCTACAATAATTATGGTCAATTTTGAAAAGTTTTCCCTTAGAGTTGCGGGGGTAGGGGGTAGCTCAACATGTTAAAATGAGTAGTATAGTCGAGTTTGGTATCTTTTAACAGGTCTTAAAAAAACACAAAAATTGACATAAATAAAACCAAAATCGGCCGACTAATAACAAAATGGCACCCTAAAACGTTTCAAATCCAAATAACCATGAGGGTGGCTGAAAATGAACTTGCACTCCCTTTAACTTTTTTACTATTTGAGATATTTAAAATCGGTTTGCAGCAACTTGTTTGGATATGAAGGGCTACAATAATTTTGGTCAGTTCTGAAAATTTTGCTCTTAGGGGGTAGCTGGGGTAGGGGGTCAACAAAATGGCAGATAGAAATGATTAAGACAATGGTTATTAAAAGTAATTTTGAACTGCCATTTCGTTATTAATGGTCCGATTTCTATTTCATTTATGTTAATTGTTATGTTTTGTCAAGACCTGTAAAATGATACCAAACTAGACTATACTTGTTATTTGAAAATTATGAGCTACCCCCGACCACCACTACCCCTAAGGTTAAATTTTTCTAAATTTACCATAATTATTGTAGCCCCTCATATCTATGAAGGTTGCCGCAAAAAGATTTAAAATATCTCAAATGGTTGAAAAGTTAAGGGAAGATGAAAGTTACTTTTCAGTCACCCTGATGCATATTCATTGTTATATAAATCGTGGTAAGAAATTTGTGTTTATGATTAAGTTTGTTTGAACATTATTATGAAAAGATTTTAAATGCATTTCATATTATTTAAGGTTAAATAGGCTATGTACCTCCTTATGTGTTAAAAACGTCAATGTAGTTGTATGCCACATAAAGAGGTTAAAATGTTCAAATAAATTCATCTAATTAAGTACTGTATTGCAAATACGTTTTCACTCATTATTTCTAATTAATTAGCGTTAAACATTATTTTGAGAAGGTTACTTTTTTAAATCTACATAGTTGTAAGCCATAATTCATAAGTTCATCGTAGCACACTACATTTAAACATTTCCATGCAAATCACTCGTATATACACTACAGCTCTCTATATAATCTATTTTATAAAATATACGTCTTTTTTAGCTGTTAAAGATGTTTAAAAGATATAAAATGATGTATTTAGAAAAACAGACACAGAAGAAAAATTATCTGCTTTTCTGAGTGTAAGTATATCCCTAATAGCACAAACTCAATTAACATTTTCTTACAAGGAAACGTACGTCATCACTAGTTCTGAAACAGGTGATCTTAAAATTAAAGTTAAATGCAATCCTCTTCAAAAGTAGGGCAACAAAAGTGTTCTGTTCTTGGTCAAGCCCCTTGATAATATTGTTGTTTTAGAATATAAGTGACTACCATCATACAAAATGTGGATTGCTTGAAGTTAGCATTAATAAGTTTCGATAACAACGAAACCATCCAAAATCAAGTAAGGTTGAGAGAAAATGAAATTTCATGAAACACTTAGCTTTTATAACAGCTTTATAAGCTAAATTAAATATAGGTTTTTTTTTTAATCGATTAACATAACGAGTGTTTATATAATACTAAATTCTATAAGCGAAGGAAGCAGGGTTGCCGTCAATGTTATTTGCCGCATGGTCTGACCGACCGAGTTCTTTTCGATGTCTTATGTCTTCCAAACTAAACCGACCGAGCGATAGCCGACATGTCTAAACAATTTGCATGAAAACGTAACACTTCACTGACCTTAATTTTTTTCATATGATTATTGTTTTTTAGTCTCTTAATACAAATGAATACAATTTCAAACGTTTATTTTCAATTAAAGAGTGACTTTTTCTTTAGCTACAAATGGCTTTTGCTACAAAATCACCTTTGTTTGTAAAACCACGCTTTCAGGAATCCAAATTGTTCGGATTTGTTTCTGTCTAGTTACTTACCTGATGTTTGTTGACTTTGTTATTCCAATTATGTATGTAAAATCCACACAAGACACAAATATCCACAACACAAATCGCACCGTCTCCGGAAATCACCACAAACAGAACAGCTTACCCGCAAATCACGGACGGGCGACTGTGATGGTATTAATATCAGCAACGGGCCAGAGCGCTGGCTAGAGCGCTGATCCAAAATTAACCCGGATACTATCAGTCCCAATACCATCAACTTTGTTGTTGCTCAGGGTACCCAGAATGCTATTATCAGTTCCAAAACCATCAATGTTGTTGCTCGTTTCTAAAAAGCTAACATCAATGCCGAAACACATTCTTTGTGTTGTTTGTGACTTAAGGTACTAGAATGAGACTTCTATTTCATCCTCTGGTTTTGGACCTCTCGATCACTTTACAATTATTATGCTACTCAAGAGGTTAAATACCTCATTACCAAATCCTTGGTGGTATGTGTTTTGACCTATTCGGATTCGTATACTATCATGACAAAACCGTCCACTGCTGTCGTTGTTTCTTTAGGGTATGCTCACTACTACTATTGATTACAAAACTATAATTAATTTCCCATCTCAAAATGCTAGGACGCTAGGCTCTAGCCCGGAACAGTTTTACACATTTACTTTAAAATGGGCTAGACGATAGCGGCATTATCATTTATTAAAAAGGCATTGATGAATGGCGGGATTTGAACCCGGACCGTGGGGACAGTAGTCCCGCGTTCTACCACCAGACCAGCATACATCTCTCTCCCTTCTAAAATAATTAACGTACGTAATATGGAATTCTTATACGTTTTCCCCTGCTAGATAAACTTGTTGTTGCTCGTGTTACCTACAATCATTAAACTATCTATCTTAAAACTAGACATTTTTGTTGTTGCTTGGGTCTTGTTACTTGAATGAATCTTAGTTTTCTCATTGTTAACTCATAATAGGGCTACAGTACTATCAATTCTAAAACTAACAACTCTTATCATAGGGTAAACCTGCACTGCGCCAAAAATCCAGTCCTAATCCCAAGGTCTAAATAATCCCTCGTTAGCATTAGCCTGTACTGCGCCAGCACTAATCCAGGTAGGCGATGAGTCGCCTTATCGTGGGAAGCGGAGGGTGTGCCAGCTTAATTTTTGCCGTGGGGGTCATAAACTGTCGAAACCGTAAGGTAGGCCCGAGTGCCAGTTGCCCCCCCCCCCCCAGAGCGTAAGAGTGATTCAGGGGAGGGGTAGTTGAAGGGGTGTAGTGGGATAGATGTAACGGAGAGCGGGTCCGGGTACAGTTATGGTAACTTGGCTACCCTAATATCGATTGAAAATAGCGATTCGATTAGTAAACCTTCATTAGTTTTTTTCATAATCAGCAAGTTTAGTTGGGTTAGGTTAGGAATGTAAACAAATGCATGGGAGTTACTCTTTCGCTACACTACTGTATACAAATCATCATTACAATGTTTACTACGGAAAAGTAATGTTTACTATGGAAAAGTTATGTTTTACTATATTTTTTTTTTATTTTGTTGACGTAAACAAACAAACATTTGTTATTGTTTTATCAACTAACTGCTTCAATTGACAACGACCTCCAAGATATGCTGTTGTTAGTGCTGGGTGGTGGGCGTTGCCCAAGTGACATGTTCTGGGGTCCATGTAAGGCAGATGGGTGGGTCAGGTCAGGGGACATTCTCATGGACATCTCCTCAATCTCACCTTGGTATTGGTGATTCATAAACGATAAATTACTCACAGATCAATACCAACACTGGTTGTATTCTATTAGGTGAGTCGATTGTTAATCCATTAACGATTCTTTTTAACAAAAGGTCAAAATTAGATAGCTGCAAGACCAGGGTTTGGACTGTTACTTTAAAAAAGTTAGCAAATACCAATTGCGTAGAAACGGACTCTGTTTACTCTCCCCCCCCCCAGTACAGGATTAAGAATTATACATGGTATATTTGATAATACAAAAACAAAACACTTTTAACTTGAGGATGAAATATTTTCATACCAAAGATTGTAATGAAAATATTCGAACGGTCTATATCTAATAAGCAATAAACAATTATTTTTATTCATTTTAACGTAGCCTACACTCTCACTCACGCCGGAAATTTTATTTTTATTTTGTGGAAACATATCCCTAGTAACTCTTTTATTTTAGTAGACATGTTTTGTTCAGTTTTATTTTATCTTGGAGGCACTTATTGACCAAGCTCATATGCATTTTTTGTCAAGAAACAAAACTCCTTCCTTTGACCTATAAACAATCGTTTGTCTATAAAGATACTTCTTAAAAAACCTCCCGACATACATTTTAATACATTTAAAAACACGATCACACATTTTAACACATTTTAAGTATGGCCATACTGTATTCGTTAAAATGTGTGTTCGTGTTCGTTTTTGTTATTTGTTCGTCTCGTTATGTGTTTTTGAAGACTTTATGACGACCTCCTAGGAGCGAAAAACCACGTCTAGGCTTGACAATGACACCATAAGTGTGTCGAAACCGGTAGCCATTAAGTCTACCAAGGATTACGTTGGCAACAAGGTATTTAACCTCTAGATTAGAATAGTAAACGTCTACTACATAATAATTTCTGTGTATTATGACTGTTAATTTTTTGTTTTAATGCTTGGAATAGTAAAATTTAGTTGAGAATGACTACCATGATCTAGAAAACTTAACTATAATATTTCAAATCACAAATCTTTGACATAAATTCATTTGACATGAAACAGCAGATCGACCAGACAAATGAATTTTTATAAATTAAACAAATAATCTACTTCATGTGAATATTATGTTGTTACACAATTCTTTGAAACCATCATATGATTCTATTTACTTACTTTTTCATTACTATATAGTATACAGTATATGTATACCTATTTATATGTATATACGACATAGTTATATATGCCTAGATTTATTGATTTGTTTTTAAGTCTTTTTTTTATATTACACTGATTCAGCCTAACCCGATTTAATGATACCAAGGCATAGAAGTGTTAAAAAGAATAATAGAAGAAGAGGGAATTAGTGAGGGATTTGGTTAGATTATGACCAGCTGATGATAATGATAATAATGTAATGGGGAAATTAATAGAAACCCAGATAATTATAATTTCGCACTAGGAACTTATAATTATCTGACAATTGACAAAATTATGTAGTTTTGTAACACGCATCAAAAGCAAATGGATTGTGCACTTACCTCATTACCTCATTACCTCCTCCTTGGCTTGATACCAGCATAAGCTGGTTAGGCTGCGTCAACTATTTACAATTTTAAAAATAAAAGCTAATATTTACAATATTTACAAACTTCCATTATGTCGGATTAATAAACTTAATGGCGGTGGATTTAAAGTCCCGTGAGGTCGTCCTCAAAGAACTCCTTAAGCGAGTAATATGGCCTAGCTTTTAGCCAACACTTTAACCTGGCTTGAAACTGATTTTTGTTTAAATTCCTAACTGCAACCGGCAACTTATTGGTCAGTCTGAGGGCCATGACCGGGAAAGCATCCTTTGTCCTACTGAGCCTGCAATAGGGCACATCAATGTGGTCTTTGCGCCTGGTGTTGTGCGCATGCACCTGCTGCCTGGTGGTGAAGGTATGCACATTGGAGTGTACGTAGCTCACACATTGAAGGATGTAGTTGCTGTGTATGGTAAGTATGCCCAAGTCAACAAAAATAGGCTTGCAATGCTCCTGTCACCCACTGCCAGTCATGATTCTCAGAGCTTTCTTCTGCAGTTTAAGGATTCTGGAGTCATTGGATGCATGACCCCATAGCTGAAGACCGTAAATACGTGACTATGGCATAATGCATGGTAAACCACAACTAGGTAAGCTTTATCAACTAGTCTTGTTAGTTTCCTGAGAAGATGTGTAACTCTTGATAATTTCTTTGCCACGTTATCCACATGATCTTTCCAACTCAGCTTTGGGTCGATCGTAAAGCCCAGTAGATTTACCGTATCAACGTCCTGAGCCAAGTTTGACTGAAGCGAACACAAGATTTTTTGTGTCTTGTCTTGGTTGAGTTTTAATTTGTTTGTCTCAAACCAATCTTTTGCTGCCCTAAACATCACTTCAGCTCTTTCTGAAGCCGTTCCTGGATTGTCACCAACAGAAATTAGGGTAGTGTCATCAGCAAACCTGAGTGCATTGCCACCTAGTTCAAGGTCGTTTATGGCTATCAGAAAGAGGACAGGTCCCACAACCGATCCCTGAGGCACCCCGTGAGGAACATTGAGAGCTCGGGACTTAGCTCCGGCTATTGAGACGACCTGCTGTCGGTTCTCCAAATATGTGACAAAGGTGTCGTAAACTGCACCGCACAGCCCATATTTATTTAATTTGGCAAGGAGAATGTCATGTGAGACGCAATCGAATGCCTTGCTCAAGTCACATAATTTCAAGGCAACAGTGTTGGTATCCTCAAAGGCTTGTTGAACGCGATGTATGAGCTCAGAGACGGCAGTGACAGTTGATCTGTCTTTACGGAAGCCGTGTTGCAGATTGGACAGCAGGTTATTGCGTTCAAGATAAGAGACTAGCTGGAATTTAATGGCGGTTTCAAAGACCTTAGCGAAAGTTGGTATAATAGATATAGGTCTATAGCTCTGTACAATTGCTGGATCACCTTTTTTTGTAAATGGGGACAGTTCTATACACCCTTAGGATTCTAGGAAATATTCCGGCACTTAGGCAGGAGTTCAGGACCTGGCAAAGAGGTATGGCAACAATGTTTATAGTGTGCTTTAGGATGACAGTAGTCATTCCATATATGTCGGGGCTGTGAGAGGTCTTAAAATGGCCTACCATGGTGACAAGGCTCTCTGGTGTAAGAGGTTGCCAGGTTGAAAGGTTGATATCGGGAGACCGTATGTCTTTGACTATTTCGTTGCTATCAACAGGAGCGGGGCCTACTATGCCTGCTACAGTACCGATGAGATGGGTGTTGAAGTCATCGGGACATTTAGAGGCAGGTGACAGCACTTGACCAGTATCACGGTTGTTGTTGACCAAATTCCATACCGCCTTGCAAGGATTAAGCGAGCTTTCAATTAGCCTCACATTTAACTTCTTCTTTCTATCATCACGG